TGACGCGAGCGTTCCGTGTGTGGGCCAAGAACACAGACACAGCCGGCCGCGTGGTGGGGAACAAAACCCCTAAAGGTCTCGCCTGGTATCCCCTCCCGTTGCCGACGCCACGCCCACCGACCCAGCGCGCCGGCCAATCCCGTTGCCAGCATGGCGTTAACAAGCCCAACCCGCGCCGCTCGGGTAGATACCATCGTGCGCGTTAAACGATTACACCTATTCCATCGATGGTGTCCCATCCTTGTTCAACCCGCTCGCCGCTCCTACGCATCGTTGCGGCTCTTCCTCCGACCCTTTCCGTTTCTCTCCCTTTTGGTCCCTGGTCTGGAGAGTGCACACGGACAGGGATGGGAATTTCGTCGGTTCTATCCGATATGCTCGTAATGTCTCGGCGAGGGCTGACTCGTTAAATTCGAGGCTTGTCTCGGGGTTTATCCGGTGATCTCTTTGCCGGGTATGCGATGGCTGCGGACTGTCAGTTGGTGGAGTCGATGGTGCCGATTTGACGGTAGGGCTTCATTGTGGCCCATTCGATGTTGGACGTTTTGGGACAAGTGTAGAGCATGGGGCTAGTGTGGTTAATGTTCAGTGCAAATATTTTTACACTAACGAACCGTCAGTTGAATTCGTTTCGATGATCAGCTACTTAGGAATCGTTCCTCAGGTGTTCAACAGTTGAGTCACTGAGTTGTTTGAAAATTGCATCCTTGCGCCGAAGATGTCTTCCGTCTTTCTGCTATTGGAACTTACACCATCGAGATTCAAATATGGCCCCAAGTGCCGGAAACAAATTTCCAAGCCTGGTGCATTTTTATCCATACAATCTTGATTGCAGTCTACTCGAGTCATCCGTCGGACTTCAAGGTACCGAGGATTAAAAGAAAGTCATCTCCCTCGCAAAGAGCGATACATAAATTTCTGCAATCTGAATCATCCTTACGAGCACCAGTAATGATCGTTTAAAACAACTGTCCGATGCAAACTCTAACTTCAAGATCCATAATCGCAATTGTGCAACATTATCATTCCATCTTACTAGAAATCATACGTTATATTTCTTTATCATTCTTTCCGTTTCCGAGCGTTCCTACCTACACATTCTTTTCCCCCAACATCGCTCATAAGACATTCGAAACACCATTAGTTCCCATCAAAGGTGTCTGCACAAAACAATCCGCCGTAAATTCGCGGGGACTTTATAGCCTCTATCCGAAGGCTCTCCCCCTCGTGAGCGTTATCAGATCGCGAGACACAAACAATGTCTGCCATCCAAGAACCGTCCGAAGACATGCCACTGATATCAAGGTGGCGTTCGAACGGAAACCGATCCCGCGATCGGGATCGACGGCTGACAGCCGATGTTGCACACTTTTCCCGGCGATCACCGTGAAACACACGATATCGCCACGGATCCGCCGAAATTGATTGCGACCGATCGGAACGTCTCGGTGACATGCGATTCGACGGTCGTTTTATCTTCGCCTGTTACAGACGATCACCTCGATACAAGGCGGCGGCGTTGTTTCCGGTGTCGCTGTCGCCGGAGGAACGACAAAGTTCGATGGGCGATACGTGAAAACCGTTCATAGAGCCGGCCGTGATATTCTATCACGCGCGAAACCGGGGTTGCATGCGAGAGACACATACAGGGATGTCCCAACGACTGATCGTCGGAGGCGTATCCACTTTTGATATGTTTGACACGAATTCCCCTCGGCGATCCGGCATCGCAGGTATGGGGAAGTTCGTAAGTAATTGAACGAATAACTAGCGCATTCCCGTTCCCATGGGCAATTAGGCGATAAATCGCGCGAATCCGAAAACTCGCGTTTGGAAATCTAACTTTCGGAACTCCGGACGCCATTAATGGAATTTGTAACTTTGTAAACTTGTTTTTGTTTGGTTGGCTCCTACTTAGGTTTCGTTTATCATCGTGGACATTAAATTCCCATAATTTTCGTTTGTCCTCACTATTCGTTCTCCTGTTACATAACCACTATACACGAGCATATGCCATATACTATTGGTTTTACTTCTCCATGAGGATGTTAGGAAAATAGCTATTTGATTAAATAGCTACATGTAAGGAAGAAATGATGGGGATATTAAAATCAGTGCTAGGAATTAGATACTTTTATTCTGTTAGTTTCATAGAATAGAAGATTATGGTGGAACGATAGGATGTCCTCCATTTTGTTCTTGCAAATGTCTTCTGAAATTGGTCTGAAGTAACTGTCTCCATTTTCTATTTACAATCTTAATCTCTACGTGATTTCTCGTGTAAATAATAATTTGTTTACTTACGAGAGATGATGAGCTTAAACTACTGTTATTACATTCGTCGATACACTGCCATTATTCGCAGCGATCGGTGTTCGCGAATACCTGTGTGTAATATCAGTAATCCGAGTGATTAAAACATAACAATTATTTCCTGGATCGAGACTAGCAATTTAAGGAAATATTGCCAAGGAACGAGAACTATTGTTTCAAGTGCAGAAACCAGCGCATCGTTTGAAATGTATAATCGACAATTGCTCGCCAGCGACATTACGTAAAATGCGTCGAAACATATCTAATATCCATGCCGAATGGTTTCTTTTTCTGCGTCTAACTGTATAATGCACGGCCGTAATTATAGCAATCATACGAGTGCTAATTATTACTTGCCAAGGTTTTTCTATAACAATTTTTTTTAAACGTTCCCGTAATTGCCCGGTCGTCATTTTTTCACTATTGCGAATTACACGCTGGCAATTACCATCGTCCTCATATTTTGTTCTTGCGTTATATTGTTGGTACGCGTCATTAGCCAGAGATCTGGTACACCGTCGAACATTTTTATACGGTTTATTGCAACGACTTGCATTAAAATGTGGATATATATACATATATATTGAATACGATCGAAAGAACACTATTTCGTAACGGACTGCAAACAAGTTGAAGTATCGCCGCTATAAATGAAGGGGGAAAGCAAAGAAGAAAAAAGAGCAACAACAACAACAACAGCAAAGGAAAAAGAAGAA